TCATTACAGAATGATTTCAAGGAAGAGACACGTCTACTGAATACAGGGAAACCGAGTGCAAGTCCAGTTCCTTAGACTGGCCACATTTATGCGAGCGGCACATGGCAGCTTTCATTAGAGAGGTAAAGGAGTGACAGAGAGAGAGAGAGAGAGAGAGAGAGGAGGGGGTGGTGTAACTACTCTGCCGTGGGCAATAATCAACATAACCAGAGATCAAAAGTTCAAATTACTGCATTGGAGCACATAACCGTAGCACCACTAAGGGCCTGTGATCCCCCTCTGTATCAGAGCACAGCACTTTATAGCAACCATCCACTAGATAACACTGCCATGGCACAGCCTTCTTTTATAGGACCCCTATGCTGAAATTCCAGGACTTTGCTATGAAGGCTGCCATAATAAAACAGACCTTTATAACCACATGACCCCCCTCTCAGAGCTGGGATATGCTGCACGCCATTCGGATTAGCATTTAGCTACAATGTGACATTGTAATAACACCTGGGTAGGACTCAAGTCAGTCCACGGTCAAGGTAAACATTTAGATTTACAAACTGCATTGCCTGCTTAATACGAAGCTAAGTTGGTTAATGCTAATACTCCTGCTCTTGGCTTTGTGGCGTTTCCCCACTGCTGGGCAGTTTGTCTATGGTGCCAAGTCCAAGACTATTAGTACATGTGACATCGGGCAGTCACTTCCTTAATTAGGCTTACCTGGTAAAGCGCACTTTGCAGATGGCGCATTCATAGGGTTTCTCTCCCGTGTGCGTTCGGATATGGCGGGGTAGCTTGCCTGCTCCTTGAATGACCTTGGAGCATATGGGGCACTTCTGGAAGGCCTTAGAGCGCATCTTCCTCTCTCCTCCACCTCCTCCACCCCCGCTGCCTCTCTCTCCAACAACCCGCTCTCCTCCTCTGTCTTGGCCAGTACTGCCCCGTGATAACCAGAGCGGCGGCACACCCTCTGTCACAGCAGCAGAAGCTGTATCCTCATGCTGTGTGCTGTTAAAATAATTCAAGTAAAATTCCATGTCTGGGTCGTCCCCATCTCCTAGGTCATCCCCGGTCGTTGCACGCTCCTTTTGCCTCTCGATGGAGTCCATCATCTGCTGCAGGAGGGCACTGGCTGAGCCCCTCTCCCTCTCCCTCTCCCTCGCTTCCCTACCACTTTCCTCCACTTCGGTCTCCTGCCCCAGCCTCGAGTCAGGTGGGAGGTAGAAGTGCCCATTCTGGGATGGGGGGTAGTAAGACGACCCCAGGCTCGCTCCATTCCCCTGCACTGGCTCCCCGTCCTCATCTTCCTCTTCATCCTCGTCCTCTTCTTCTGGCTCCTGTGTTGGGGCCTGGGCAAATGCGAGGGCCAGGGGGGAGAGGTACTCACCGGGGCCACCAGGAGCCCCGTTGCTGGGGCCATTGCCATGGTTAAAGTGCAGGTGTGTAGGCAGGTCCCTGAGCTCTGGCGTGCTGCAGCTGCTGCTCCAGTGCGCCCCTCTCTGGAAGTACTCCAGGTACTCCCGGGCCCGCACCCGGTTCCCCTGCTCCTTGCCCCCTCTGCCCTTTCCCTCCCTATTTTCATCTTCATCTCGTTGCTCATTGCCCGCCTAGTGAGACACAAGATGGGAAACAAAGAAAGTGAGTGAGAGAAAAATTGAATTGTGTGCAAGGAAAAAGAGACAAAAGTACAATAGCAAAGCACAGTTGTTAAAAAGTAAAACATTAACATGACAGGAAAGACCTAAATTTACAAATGTAACGACTGTCAGCATGAGAAGATCGCAATTTGGGTAAACTGGATGTACACGCAGGGGCTAAGTATGCTTGGGGGCACATGCATTTGCAATTAGAAAATAAAAACTAACTGGTTCAGCAATTTAACCTATTTTTTAAGTGTTAGTGTTGAAGTGTTTTTGTTTTTTAAATTGAAGTAAACTTGTACTAAATATAGCATTAGATAATTGGAAATATGTGGCCACAAACTGCAATGTTACAGGTTGGGATTATGTAAAGCAGTAAGTATTCAGACACAACATACCACAGCTATACTTGATCATGTACAAGTGGAGCTGCTGTATGCTGTGTCTGTAGTCTGTGAAAGCACATGCTGTCCTTCCACACAAGCTATTGGCTCAGAATGAGTAAGTGTTGAACTAACCCCAGGGCTGTGGGCGTGTGGGGCATAGTGAGAGAGACTGATAAAGGCCGTGATGTAAGTTTGACTTTGCTGACTATTGAATGAAAGGATTGTTTGATGACCAGACAACCCATTCTATGAGTGGCTAAAGCAGGGAAAAGGATTTTGAATAGATTATTACAGCTTTATAATAGTAGAGTTGTGCTGTATCTTATATGGTCTGTGTTTTGCTATTCAACACTTGTAGGTTGGGTTGCTTTTCGAGTTACTTTTCCAACTCAAAAAGGCAGAGCAGTTAAATTCTCATTTCAAAATGTAACTTCAAATTCAACACACTTATAGTTCAATAATGATCTTGTACCGGCGGGGAGAGCACTTTGGTGTCCAGCAGGTGAGTACAGACGTCCTGGACAGGTGAAATTTCCAGGAGGCGAGCAGCGGCAAGGATGTCCGCCACACTGCTGTGGCTGACTGTCAATGTGGCTGTGTAGGCAAAGTCCAGCAATGCTCCCAGGGCCTCCGCTGGCACAAATTCGATGTTGTAGATGTTCTGTTGATCGGCAGCGGCACCTGAAGTGAAGAGCTTGTGGAAGTATGAGCTGCAAGAGGCCAGGACGGAGCGGTGAGCAGGAAACTCCTGATCCTGAGTGACCAGGAGCACGTCGCACAGCAGGCCGCTGAGCCGCTGCTTGTTCAGGCTGCCCAGGATGTCGGCGCTGTGCTCGGGGAAAGGGATCCCCACGGGGCCTTCCTCCGCCTCTCCTGCCCCTCCTCGCCCTCCTCCGCCCCCGCCGCTTGCTGTCCCCCTGAGCTGCCTTCCGCCCCTCCCACCGGCTCCTGACGACATCTTCCACCAGCCTGCCGCCGAGCCGCCTAGCACAGCCCCCACCCGTGTATCCGTCCTGCCGTCTGTCCGTCTGCCTGTCTGAGGGGGGAGATAGTTTGGATAGAGGAATTGGATGGAGGAAAAAGAGAAAGAGAGAAAGGAAAACTTTTTAAAATAACATCATGACATTATTTGAGTGGATATGGGTCTTTATCACAGCAGACATTTTGACATGTGACAGTAGGAAAAGTACTGGTGTTCATGATGACATCAACAATGTTCTATTCAATAGTCACAGTTATTAACTTCATTATTTACCCCTGTGCTTTTCCTACTGTCACATGTCAAAAGTTCTGCAGCAGAAAGACAGAGAGTAACATTGATCCATTTATTCCCCATAGTGAGGTATATACACCAAAATTCTTCAGACTCAAGCATACTAGATTATACATTATCTCTTGACACAGATTTGCATGTTAATTTCAAAAATCTGTTGATGAGGGACAAGATCTTCTTGTTTCCATTTTTAGTTTGACCAATCACATTTAAGCAGGCTTCGGTTGTCTGCAGGTCTGTGCAGAGCGCAAAAGAGGTGTAACATATTGACCAAAAAGCATCGGTTATCAGCTTTTTAATATATCTGCATTCATTTGCAGAGAGCGGTGAAAAGAGATTGGCCAAAATGTCATCTGGACCTAAAGCTTGGAGACAGTATGGCTATAGAGTTTGTGTCTCGTGTGGAGAAATGTTTGACTTGTTGGACTGGAAACAGTGTATGGCAAACGGAAAACTTGGCCCGGATACCTGCTACCCCCTGAGGTAACGTCACCAGACGATAACAAATAGGCTCCAAAAATTGGTACACGTTACTAAAAATTTATGAAATTTAAAAAAACGTAAGAATAAGGGGTTAGTTCATAACATACAGGGAGTCTGCAATGTAAACACAAATACACTCTACTACAAAGTTGGGTCGTATAAGGTTACGTAGCGATTAGCATGGGTTTGGCAATTAGCATGTTTATAGACTATGTGACATCTGTCAGTCAGTCTGTTGAAACTAAACAGTAAACAGTATAGACCTCTTACACAGCAGCCATTGTGACATGAAATAGGAAGTAAACACAGGTGTTCCTAATGACATTAAGGGGGTTCTGTTCTATTTAGGTACAGAGCGTTAATGTGCTTACAATGGTGACAATTCAATTACAATTCACATTTGTCTTAAAGTAAACTGTGCACTGACATGTACAGTCTCTGCCATAAACGCAAGCTGATTCCCTCCAAAAAGTCATCTTTATACATTAATATCTTAGCAATGCAAAAACTTCTCTTCTGATTGTTCACACTGTTGACAGCCTCTGTGATTATGTGTTCTTTTATCTAGGCCACCAATATCAACATTCCTCAGTGATGTGTTTTTATCCACACAAAAAAGTAATAATTAATGTTAGGTGGTCCTGATCTGAACTCCACAGTGAATGCTTTACATTTGCTACATATGTTGAATGACAAATAAATCTGTTTTGAAAGCAATAGCTCACATAAGAAGCAAAAATATTAAAGCACCCAAACCGACAATTTAAACATTCCACTCACTTTCACTGGACCCCAAAACACTGAGTGCGTATCCATCTGCTTACAATTCATTTAAAGCAAATCTACTGGCACAACAGGGTGTTTACACATAGAGTACAACATTGTACAACACCACAAGTGTGACAATGTGCAATCATTTAGTTTCTAATGGCACGGAATAAAGAGTGAAATATGGCCAGGCTTGTTGCTGGCTACAACACCATGAGTGTGTGAAAAACTAAGTGAAAGAAGGTTATGTATTTATGTGAGTGTGCAGGTGGCTGGGTGCATGTTTCCTTACATGCCTACTTCTATGGGTGTGTGTGCATGCACCCGTGCAAGGAACCAAGTAGGAGGTCATGGAGGACAGATAGGCAGAGGGTAGTGGGGATCAGAGTGCATGCTGGGAGCTGGGCTGTGCAGCTTGTGCACTCTGTGTTAGTCGAGAGCCAGGGAGGGAAGAGAGAGAGGTGGAGGAAAAGAGGGGAGGGAGCAAGTGAGGGAGGGGGGCTGCCAGAGCAGACCCTGTGGAAAAACTCCACGGGAGGAGGAAGAGGACACGCAACAAGCTGCGAGGGAACAGTATTAAAAAGGGAGGTTGTCAATCCGGTCTGAGCTGGTTACCCCACCCTGTACTGTGTGCCAAGTTTCAGGAAAGGCTGTCCCCTCGCTCACGTGTGGGGGGAGATTAAAATCATTGACTGAAGCCTGCGCAGTCGAAGGGGAGTTTGGCCATCCTCGATTTCTCTATCAACACACTCACACACAGGCAAATACCATGGCATCACAGAGACATCAAGAATGCGTGACATTCACATACACATAACTCAAAACATATAGGACATCGCCGCCTCCAACCCTCCTCCCCCCTTCTCCCCCCTTCTCCATCTGCCAGGAAGGCACAGCAGGGGGGTGAGGTTAAGGGTGGAGATGGGGATGATGGTGGTTGAGGATGTGTTCAGTTTGCTGCTCTGTACATGAGCAGTTCATTCAAATGACATTCCTTCAGACCAGCCCTCCTGGTATGTTTGTGCACTACACCAGACAATCAAACCTGCTCAACCTGGCTGCCTGTCCTCTTCCACACCGGCTCACCTGCGTTCACCTCTCCTTTTTTCTCCACTGTTATTTTATGGTCTCCCTTGTTAAAAGCAACGCCTATCTGTTTCCACACCTTGAGATCTGGTGACATTCGTGTTAGGTAAAGACCTCTGCAGAGAAGCAGGCCAGTGCAAAGAGCCGATGTTTGTTCCAATTTATCATGATCACCTAAATGGGTCAATAATTATTCTTAATTCAGGCAAAGCGTCAAAAAGGCAAAAGGATTATTCAACTCAAAGTTTGAACATTCAAACAAAACAGGTAATATCTAAAACAACATTTTTGTTTAACTAAGGGTAAAAAAATCATGCTCCTTGCTGTACGTCTCCCTTAATTCAATTCTATTTTGATGGGAAGCTGACCACAAAGCCACTGCAAACACTCAGACATGGCAAGAGCAAATTTTATTATCTAACTTCTCATCTGAATATGCTGAGAGAGAGGAGGGCAAAGACAAAGAGGTACGGCACAGGGGGGAGAGAGAGCTGAGTGCATTGGAGATGGCAGAAAGAGTGAGAGAAAGGGCAACCGCACGGCTGTCGGTCACGTCCTTCACAGGTGGAAACAGATCTCTGAGCCCATCCAGACCCGAGCCAGCCTCCTCTTCACTCACAGACACACACACAGCACCTGCACCAGACCGGGCATTGTTGCAAGCTTGTGTATTGCGTTATCCTTGGGACATACACAGCTGACCCTGGGTCACGGCTTTGTGAGGTAAAGACGCTGAGCAGAGAGGAGATAAAACACACACACACACACACGCACACAAACTTGAATCAGTGCCAACGAAGCATGGAGGGACTGCTCTGTATGCAGGAGTCACCTGTCCCCAAATAACCCACAAAGAGCACTAAGAAAGAGGAAACAGTGCAACAAACCTGATCCTGACACCTCCTCATGGCTTGAAACATTCCTTATCACTAATTCATGCCTATGGGTGACAAGGCCCGCAGCCCAGCACAAAGCAGCGCAGTAACTGTCTGTTTCCCTGCAGGCGCTCCACTTCCAGGGAAAGGGCCCTCTCTCACTGACTGGTCCTCGAGCACCCACGCCTGCTTTGCAAGTCAAACAGCCAGTCTAATGCAGGATCCACCCATCCCATCCTCGCCCTGATCACCTCCATTTCTTCTGTAAGGTCCCTCTAGCCCTTCCATTATATCTACACCCAGCAAGGACAGATATCAAAATTACGTTTCAGGGACGAAACAACCGTCATCCTGTCTGCTGTTTTTTCAGTTGACTGTGCTGTGCATGTGTTCTTAATATCTATGCCAAGTTGGTCACACCCAATTTGCTTGTCATTCACAGTTAAACACGTTTACACCAGGCCGTGGTTGCAACTAGTAAAAGCAGTTTTATTTTGCCCGATGTGTATCATCTATGGAAAGCCTGCAGAATTTCCACTCTCAAAGTAGCTGTCTTTGGCTGACACATACCAGTCATTCCTAAATACAAAGGAACAAACTGTTAACCCTGTGCAACCTCAGATGTTTCTTAGATAAATTGTTTACTGGCATTTTTTAACAACAGTGACCATTATTTAAGGTTTCACCAAACTCAAGTAATGCATCAAGTAAAGAAAATAGAGAAAATATTAAAATCCGCAATTTCAGTTGGTACTGCACAGAGCCTTTTGGTTCAACTCGACTGAATTTGAATACAAATCATCCCCTTTTTTCTTCTTATCATTCCAAACTTTCAGTTACTAGTTTCATGCAAAAAGTGTTTGAATCATAAAATCTGCAACTTTCAAAAGGAGAAATAGAACAAACACAAAAGAATCACTGATCCCTTGACCCATAAATGTTAATGGAGCACAGATGAGCCACCTTTCAGCACTGAAATAGAGAGCACTTGTTCATTTTATAACAACACAATGTGACATGTTCGTGCAATTCTATCATATGTTACTTCTACTCAGGTGAAGGATTTATGTTTTCAGTTGCTCACTTAATATTAGGGAAATTCATATATGTCAACCACAACTGTTATTACTATTTAAGTAAGGCCAGAACTAAAAACAACTGTAAAGTTTTTATATGAGACAGCAGGTTGAAGGATGTGGTTGGCACTTTGCTCATGTCTGCACTTCCCTGCCCCTATCTCTATCATTTCTCTTTTTCCTATCATGGCCTTGTTTCACTGACTATCTCAACTGGCTTCTATGACAAGCCAGTCCAGACCTATATCCCTGCTACAAGCAAATCACTTCTCTTAAGTCAAAAACGTACAAAGTTGGATCCGAGAGGATATTGCAAGATAACAAGAATGGGGAGGGGGTAGTGGTTCCTAAGAAACGTGGATTTTGAACAAGTGCCATGGCCAAGTGACTCACTACTGCCAATTGTAAAAAGGAAACCTGATTGGTCGTATTGGGAGCGGAGCAGGAAGAGGGCAAGTGACTGATAAAACTGAAGTTTGGAGGGCTGGTCTAGGCCTGGCAGCTTTCACTAGAAACTAACCAGGAAGTGCTGGCAAAGCACAGACACAAAGCCAGTGAAAAGGTAGTGGGCGAGGCAGGGCGTTTAACTCACAAGCTCACTCATAACTCCTGAGTGTATGGTGGCCTAGGAATCTGGATCAGATGTCAATGATAAACTCAAGAGATCTCATTCAGTTACCTGGTGTAACCTGCTTCAGTGAGAGGTGACCGCCCATTAGTTGAGCAAAGTTTAATGTGAGGAAGGTGACAGGGGGTTTTATGATGTTCTTATAAACGTCTGACGTTTTACATGCGAGATAGCAAAGGAACTGGAAAGTGAAATCTATTGCTATTCTCCTGTTCTACATGTGCCTGTAGTTTGTTTTCTCTTCAGTCAGACCCACTGTATACCCACAGGTAAATAAAAATAGTGCAGAGACAGCTGCCAATTACTACTATTTCAAAACTTGCTGTTTTTACATTGTTCAACATCAGAAAGGTGGTAATTAAATTATAAGGTCATTTTTAAGTCTATAGTTTTTCAATTTCTTTCTATTATTTGTTCCTCTGTAGAAAATGAAGCCAAAATCCTTATTACCTCCACCAAGGAGTTAGTGTTTTTGTCCTTGTTGTTTGAGCTGACTGTAGGTGGAGGTATACACTCTATGAGTGCAATTCTATAGTTACAACAGTATGAGTTCAATTTCACTTCGTGAAAAGGTACAACAAATACACTTAAAGCAGAGCTTGAGACAACATTCAGGCAACAAAAACAGATACAAAAATAAGGCTGATCATTTTAAATACGGTACAATTTCTCATGGTTTGCACTGTACAGCTGTTTCCATTTTTGCAGTCACTGCGTGTGGAGACAAACCAGTGCAGTGACATTATCAAGTGAATTCATTCATTAATTTCATAATTTTAAGCACAACCTATAACTATAATTTAGATCACTCTATACGTCTGTCTTTTGGTGGATACTTCCCTGTGAAGTCACATTCTAACAGATGTTTTGGGACAGTAGTTGCAGTGCAATACAAGCATCCATCATCTGAGTTACATTTAGCTTTAGTGACATGCTCTGACACAGCCATGCTGCCAACCAGTAAGGACACCAAAACCATCACATGGCTTCAGAGACAGCGCTACACCCCCAATGCGGTGGTGTCCAGCAAAACCCAGGCTGGCACATTGGTCAGTCCAAAGGCCCGACGTGCCGTGGCTGCGCCACTATGTGCATGCGCAGCCCAGCAGGGAAGGAGGACTTCCTGCGAGTCTGTGGCGAGCGTGTAACAGAACCCGCTCTGTTATCAGATGACCAGCTCTCTGCTTGCTCGCTCTCTCTGTCCCTACTGTCTGACCCTCTCTTTCTCTCTTCCTCTCATCTGTCGCTCTCATCTCATCATTGCTCCATCTCTGACTTAGACTCTGCACAGAACCCACCCCACACCACCCACTTCCCCTTTCCACTGCTGAGGAGGCAAAGCAGCACGGACCCACCCACCCTGCTGTGTCTCGCCATCCATTAATGCAACCCACCCATCTTCTCTTCTGTTTCATCCTGAACCGATTCACTACATCAACATGCAGACAGTGTCATATTGGTCACATATCTGCCTCCTCCCATCAGTTAGCCTTTCTGCTAAATTAAACAAAGGGTTTCTGTAATACACCCCTTATTATCAATATAATAATAACTCATTCTGTTGACAAAAGCCTGCCCCTTCAACTAATTCATGTTTTTACAGAATATTTAAATGTAAAAACCCTCACCCAAAGACATCATCTAACTACAAAAGTTGGACAATTCTAGTTTCACCCCCACCCTGAAAAACATCCCAGCCTCTTACTCTCCCACTCTAATTTGATCAGGTTGTGTTGGCCTCTCCATAATAAATGTCCCAGAAGAGAACAGAAGAAGCCCCTTTACTCCCCCTAGACTTCAGCACAACAACAGTAAAACAACAGAGAGGGGTCTGTCTGTCTAGTCAGGCTGGAAGCTGTGGTATACTGAGCAGCTGACCAGGGGAACCAAACATTACAGGGAAGCGGAGCTGCATTTACAGAGGAAGAGGCCGATCAAAGTATTTAAACTGTGGATAAATGTGACAAACACGGCAGCAGAGAAATGATGGTGTGAAGTACAGATTACTTAACTTCGTTATCCTTCCATATGGCCAACAATACATAATCTCACCACATCAAAACAACTATGAAAAAACAGAATGACTACTACATGTAGTATATTGTATGCAGCCAGCGTTTCACTCTAAAATAAAACCTCAAACTGCCACGGCGACATCACGCAACCTGTCTTCACAGTCTGTCTGAACCTGCTAGTTTCAGGCCATAGTGGTGCAGGCACAAACATACAGGAATATCAAACTGTATTCAGCCTCACCGCCAAATTGATGGGTGGTGTCTTGGACCTGCCCACAGCCACTGAAGTCCCCTGCAATTCCCCTGGAGTCTATTGTTGGTAACACAGATGCACACACATGCTTGCACACAAGCACACACTCACATACACAAACACATATGGCGTCCTAGTTTAACCTCTTGCTGATATTCACTTGAACCAATCATACTGTTCTCCCATAGTGGTACCTAGTAAATAGCAAAGAGGGTAGCATCAGGACAACTTTTACTGTCACTAATATTTTCTGACACTGAACTTAATAAAAAAATGTCATCAGCGTTGTCTGCTGCTGCTTTCTGAGACGCATTCCTAACACTTTCCCAGCACTTGGGCGTCTTCGTGTTCGCTGCCCTTCTTGTACCCTCTCCTTGCCCACACATTTAAAAGAACGGGTTCAGCGAGTATGCAAAGCTAAAAATTATGCATCTAGTTATCGAGCAAGGCAGCTGGGGTTGCTGTGAAGTCTTTAAAACCACGAGCCACAAGCAGTCAAGACATGACAGGCAAGATTAGAATCTGCTCTTAACAAGATGCTGGTGAGGAAAGGGGGGTGGGGGTAGTGGACTGGGAGAAAAAGATGTCATGAGATTGACCGTGGTGTGAGTAGCAGAAGAAAAACTGATATGAAACAACAAACAGACACACATGTTCTCCTGCGTGAGGTGCACACAGTAACAAGAGCTTAAGTTATATTTCAATATTGCATGAATTTAACTGAAACAGCTTACCCTTCCAGGGAAATAGTTGTCACAAGATGTGTCACATATTCTCCCCTTCGACAGGAAGACATGTCACTGACTGAGGTTTCTCAAATAAACTCAATGCCCCACCTGTGCTCCTGTACTGTCAGCTATTAGCGTGCAGTTGTTTCTGTGGAATTACTTTAACACCCTAAGTGCCGATGCAGGGAGTGCAATTGTCTTCGTCTTTTCAGTCCACAAATTAAATTAATAGAATGGAAACAACACTGATGCATCATGAGATTGCAAGCTCATAGTTAAAAAGTTAGCGTGATAAAAACTTAGAGACAATAACTATTCTCCTGAGGAGTCTTTGCAGCACCTTACACTCAGCCCTGACCTATTTGCCGTATTCACAGCTTTAACTGCAAGTGGGTCAAGAACTCTGAACTTTATCTAGACCCATCTCTTTCACACTCTCCTTCACACACAGCACGTTATGGTCTTTATTTCCTTTGCTCGTTTCTCCTGTCAGCCACAGTCTAAAGACACAGTGCGTGAGTGTGTGTGTGTGTGTAGATGTATTTGGTGTGCTTACCAAATAGGCAGAAAATGTGTCCCGGGCCCTATATGACTCCCCTGCCTGTCGCCCAGCTCTGCTGCCTCCGTCTCTGGGCAGGGCTGCAGCTCTACCAGACAGGAAACTTGCGAGTGGCCCTAGTCATACAGGCAAGCCCTTGCCTGATCCCACACAAACAGACACTTACCACCACCCCCCTCACCACCCCCCTCACAACCACCTCCACCCCACCCACCCCCTCTATTTTCAGCCCACAACTCTGCTCCGCATCCCCTTCTCTCATTGGCCTGACAGCTGCTCATTCACCACACCTCCTCGTCAGGATAGGCTGGCGGCTGTTCCCTTTCCTGGATGGCCGAGGGCAAGGCACTCTGGGATGTAGAGTTCTCAAACCCCATATGACTCGTTTTGTAGCCCCTGCTGTGGACTACGAGTCCCAGTGCTCCATGCCCTCACCACCCCCACTATCTCCAAGCCTGCTCTAACGTAAGCACTCAGGGCTGAATTATACACTACTGTATGTTGCTAGCAGGCTGCCAGGTATTAAAGTACAGACCAGCCATCAAAACAGGGCCAAGCTTCGTATGAGGAAAAAAGAAAACATTTCAACCTCAACTGTCACAGCAGTAAGCAAACATCAGAGGTGAATTCATTCACAAGCTCATGACAGAGTGACATTTCAGACACACTTACAACTCCTGACCTAAATTATGAGTTACTGCTCTTCCAAACAGACTAATGCCACCACGACATGCCCAACGGACACAGTACACAACTTGCCCCTGCACCGAGCATTTCAATTGCCGCTGTCCGAAAAAGTTTTTTGCGATTGCTTATGTCAAGTCCAGTAGAATTATTTTTGGTTTCTCCTTCTGCTCATTCAGTGCCCCCCACCCTCTCTCGAGAGCCCCCCTCCTCCTCCACCTCCTCTAAGTGCTTCCACCTGCCTGAAAAGTTAATGCCTTGAACACATCCTATAAACTTTACCTCAAGATCCCTCAGAGGTAAAGAGCAGTGCAGAGGAAGTACTTTAGAAGGATAAAAAAAAAAAGAGGAACCTTGACTGGGGACTACTGCTGCGACCCACCTCTCCTCATCGGCCAACCCCTCCACCCTGCTCTCCTTTCTGTCCCCCTCCCTCATTCCTCCCTCTCTCCTCTCCTCCTCTGCCCTGCTCCCCTCTGGTCGACAGGCCCAGGGCAGACAGCGGGGGGATGGCAGGGTGCCTTTAGCTCACCTGCGATGGCCGTGGTGGTGCTTATTGTGGGTTAGCTCAGCCCTCTCCTCTCCTCCTCTCCGGAGCTCTCTCTCTCTCCCTCTCACTGTTGTGCAGCTTAAAGCCCCGTATGCGCTAACCAAGCAGCAGCAGATCAACTCAATTCCCTTCCTGGTTTCTGGAGGGCAAAGAGGTCCCTCCCTTTCTCTCTCTCTCTCCCCTAACTCTCCCTCCCTCTCTCTTAAAGAAACAGCACTCGTCCTCCGTCCCCTCTCCCTCCTCCCCCTGTGAAGCAAAAGTTAAGCAGAAATATCTTTGCGCTCAAAAGTGGACAGTTATTAAAGTCATAAACTCAAACAGAGATAACACAAATCATTAACCCTTACCTTTCCACTGTGTGGTTCCACAGTGGATGTTAGCCTGTGTCTCCCTCTGTGGACACTCAAAAGCATGTTTTAAGGTTAAACTGAGTTGTAACGCATGTCTTTTCTCACATGCCACATCTCCCAGTATTGCTTTCCTTGTCTATGTGAGTCGAGTCGCACCCATCCATCCCATTGCCTGAGGTCATGGTGTCCCATCCCAAAAGCAAGCCATGGCACATTCCAGCACAAACAGTAGGGGCTGCCAGCAACCCCCTTGATACTCAGTGTGGCTCAGCCCAGTCTCTGTACATAAGGCTGCCAAGCTCCAACAGGTAAGGCATCAAAGAAGACGTTACTAAGCTGAAAAGTGTCTCCACGGTGGGGAATGGCAAGTTCCCATGTGTAAATCTAAAGCTCATGCGCTTGATGTTGCGCCACTTCCAGCCTCCCACTGCACGCCCCCACGGTGAGCGCAAGCCAGCCATTGTGGCATGGAGTGGGATGGAGCAGAAGATGTAATCGATGATTCTGTTGCACCATTTACAATCTCAACACGCCTCTGAATGCACCTTAACGCACACACAAGAAAATTGACTTTACACAGTGTTTCTACCTGTAAATAGTTGGTTTCAGCCAGTCTCACAGGTGTGTCCCACGATGCAGCGGGGGCTTAACACTGGCTTGACTCTGCTCTGATAACCTTGCAGGGGGAATCATGGAGTAAGGAAGAGGCAGTGGCACAACCTCTGTGTAGAGGGCACTGTTCAGCTCTGTCTCTGTGCATATGAGGGTTAAAGCTTCAACACTACAAAAAGTGCACGTCAATTGCAGTGTATGGACATTTGTTGCCATCTCCTGCTATAATCTGCGATGCTAAGTGAAGAGGATGCAGGTGGATAAGTTGTAGCCAGAGTGAAATGAAAACAGCAGGATATGCACTTCCACACAAATACATAATATTTACACAAGTTGCCTACTACTCAGTTTTGCTTTAATTACCCACAGTGAAAATGAGCTGTTGTAAGCCCATGGCAGTCTGAGGTGATGTCAGACATTTTTATAGCAGTGTCGCCCTTCAGTCCAATATAATAGAGTCCAGACACCCCACATCAGATCTGTGTTTGTCATTGCACGTTGCAATAAATGGGGTTGATCTAATCTTTAAGAAAGAAGCAGTTGCAAAAGTATTTTAGAAGTTTTAGCTTTAGCAACTAGCAAGGGCTGAATGCTAGCTAGTAGGCCCACATGTAAATTTCAGGCTGTGGGCCTAACGGACACTGAACTAGGGTTCAGGAGTTAGCAGGATAGCTGAGACCAACTTCTGTGAGGTGACGTCGAGTTTAATTATTCTAAGATGATATTCTATTTATTTTCTTAGTGAGAAAGACAAACTGTTTATTTGTAACGTTAAGACTCGTTATTCTTTTGCAGGTGTAAGTTTGTTTACCTGTTAAGAAGCGGCAGCAGAACACAACACACACTCGACACGGAAACACAACTCGACGCGCCGGTGACGTTACCTAGCTTAAGAGTTAAAAACATATGTTTTGATTTGTGATGAAACGTTCACTTACCCTCCATAAGTTGATGTTAACTCAAAGTTGAACTCGTGCTTCATCTCTGAATCACGGTGCACTGTGGTTACTGACAGTTAGTGACGAGCACGCGGGTTCAGTCAAGCCCAGGAGCTGTCGCCATGGTTACTTGCACTTTACGCAACGATGGGGATTTTTAGCGGACA